GGGCTGGGTCGGGGTTGAGCCTGAGGGGGGCTGTGGGGTCAAGACGAGACTTGAGACTCTGCAGTTGTAGGAGGGACATTGAGGTCAGAGCTGGGCGGGGAGGGGGCCGGGGTGGGAGAGTCGGAGTTTGTGGTGGGGGTAAGAGGACACCGAGGTGGTGCTGAAGGGACAGCACTTTTTACTACTCGGAGAGCCTGGAGTTCACGCTCTGGCTCTAGACCGCGAGAGGGCCACTTGGATTATTGCCCAGCACGGGGTGGTCTCTGGAACCGTGGGCGGGGCGTGGATAACTGGGGGGAGGTCACTCTGATGGTGTCTGGGACGGAAGGAGGCCAGGATGGGTACCTGGCCCTCCAGGGTCTTTCTCAGGGAGCCTGGGAAATGGGAAAAGTGTTTGAGGGGAGGAGGCAACTGAGACAGAAATCCTGGAGCCAAGGTGAAGGGATCATGGAAGAATTTTGGATGACTTGTTCCCCTTATGCTTCTTCGGAAACCAGGTGGAGGGTAGGGAAGAAAAGTTGAGGGTCTATGGGGTAGAGTTCTCAAAGGACTGGGAAGAGGGTCTGACTGGGGCCCTTTCCCAGGACTGGGTGTTCCTGACAAGATTTTGCTTCCTCTCGGATTACGGACGACTGGACTTCCGTTTCCGATACCCTGAGGTGAGCCTTCCCCACCCACTCCCACACTGAGGCTGGCTGTTCCCTCGGCCTCCCGAGGCAAGGGCTGCCCCAGTGTCCTCACTCCACTAAACCTCAAAATCTCTGGGCCTGCAGGCCAAGTGCTGTCAGAACATCCTTCTCTATTTTGATGACCCATCCCAGTGGCCAGCTGTGTACAAGGCAGGGGACAAGGTGAGGGCTGTAAGGAGGGTGGACGGGAGCGGGAGAAGGTCAAGACTGGTCAGGGAGTGAGCACGTCCCTGTCTTCCCCAGGACTGCCTGGCCAAGGAGTCAGTGATCAGGCCTGAGAACAACCAGGTCATCAACCTCACCACGCAGTATGCCTGGTCAGGCTGTCAGGTATGGGCCCAGCCTGGGGGAGTGGGCAGGTGCTGAAGGTCAAGGGCCTGAGGACAGTTCAGACAGGCTTCAGCCTTCTCGCTCCTCCCCAGGTGGTGTCAGAGGAGGGAACCCGCTACTTGAGCTGCTCCAGTGGCCGCAGCTTCCGCTCAGTGCGTGAAAGGTGGTGGTACATCGCACTCAGCAAGTGTGGGGTAAGGGGCTGTCCTGGCCACCTGGGTCTTTTCCTCCTTGCCTTCCCGCCAATTCCCTACCTACCCAGGGCCCTCCTTAGGCCTCCACACTCCCCACAGGGAGATGGGCTGCAGCTGGAGTATGAGATGGTTCTCACCAATGGCAAGTCTTTCTGGACGCGGCATTTCTCTGCTGATGAGTTTGGTGAGCATATGGGGACCCAGAAGCCAGGATATTTGAGGGAGCCCAGAGCTCGGTGCTTGTTGTGGGACACCAGCCTGACTGAACTGTTTTCTCCGTCCACTGAATTGCCAGGGATCCTGGAGACAGATGTGACTTTCCTCCTTATCTTCATCCTCATATTCTTCCTCTCCTGTTACTTTGGATGTGAGTCCAGCACATG